TACAACGAAAGGAGACTGCGACCACACAAAAGGCCACACCATCTTGGTCTTCATATCTTCGAATAATATAGCAACTTGATCTTTGTTGCCAAGGCTGTGTACATCTAGATAAGCCAGAATTCCTCTTCTCGTGCTTTATTGCATTTAAAATTTAAAGCAAGAAGTTCCACACAATGAAATACATGGCAATATTTCAAAATATAATTAAATTAGTAGCCTTAATTTAGTAATATTCTAATCGAAAAGGAGATAGCAACGTATTGGCTCGAGTCTGTCAATTTTTACTCATTAATTCATCCTCATTATTTATACTATTTAATCCGAGTTTGTTCGAACCATTAATAAATATTTACATAAAAGTAAGTTCACAAGGAAGCTAGTCCTCCACTTGTAATTATGAGCAGACCAGAAATAATTTCGGTTTATTTACTGCATTATATTATACATTACTAATTATATTAACATAAAAATATACTCATTCAGGAAAATATTATTCCAACTTTAGATGATCGGTTCGTCACTTCTCTTCGTTCATGACGCTACTGGACAAGCGAACATTTGGATGATTGACTTCGGAAAGTCAGTACTCCTCCCGCCAGGTGTAAAAGTTAACCACCGGTCCTCTTGGCTCCAAGGTAATCATGAAGATGGTTATCTCTTTGGGCTTGATGCACTCATAAATGTATTCGAAGAGCTTGTAATGGTCAATGGGTTTAAGACTCCTTAATAGACTTGCACCTTATGTTTAAAATCAGTCCCTCTATTGTCACAGCAAACAGCACCATGCCTTCTTCCTACTTGCTTTGTTTTATTCATCTAGAATTCTGTAACCAAGTTATGATGAGCTATTTTGGTCCCAATGCAAGCATTCCACCTTCATAGATTTATCTCTTTTCTATTGATATTGCCAATTCGCTGACATATCAAAGTCTCCTCAACCCGTTACTGTCAATATTCACGACATAATCCGCTTAATAAGATACCCTGAGATATTCTCTCCTTTTTAGTGCACTTGTTATTTTTTTAACGAACAGTATATTTTCATAATGCTGTTGTACTTTGTATTAATAATTTATCTTTATTTACATGATTTTCATGCACATAACTAGCCAGTATTTTTACATACCTTCTTTCAGGAAGGTTCCAACGTACGCTTATTGTTCTACATTCGAAAAACTGACGAAGCAGTTTGACTTCCAAATATAGTTTTTTTTTTAAAAAACCTTGCCCTGAATTCTCACAATTAATTAGTCCTCCATTCGTAATTATCACCAGATCAGAAATTACCATCTGCAGTATTTGGCATATTGCAGCCTAGTCTAGGTAATTGAAGCTCGATATACGAAATTCTTTAACCAAGTAAGATCTATCATTGATTTGCAATTTTTGAGTAACGTGTTAATGTCTACAAAAGTTAAAATAGATAGACTGTTATAAAAAGCTTTATATAAGGGCGTTACTCTAAGTAGATGTTATGCCTCACCTATTCTTACATTGACTCCTCTGGTGGTGGCAATTAATTCAATAAAAGGTAATACTAAGACTGTATATTGTTTTAAAAGCAAATACTTCTTAACACTGATTAAGAGCTATATAACATTCAAGCCTTGTAAAATAAAAATTCAAGGCGTATATAAATGTTTAATGTCAAGTAAGTTGGTACCATTCTATCCGTCGAAGGAAGACAATAGCAGTACAGTAATGAGTGCAAACCTTGTTAAAATACGAAAAATTGTCACAAAAGTATCCTGGCAAAATAATGTCATTACTCGCATAATCGGAATCACTAGATGAGAAATCTTGTACAAACTTGATTTCCGAGTTTAGTTTACAGTAATTTCTTTTTTCACCCTGTTTAGCGTACTTCAGAGCCGAAGTGAGCTCAACGGTGGCTAAAAATTGATGCACATTTCTGCATAGTTACATGAACACAAAGCCCAAGAAGGTACACGACGTCGTTGAGTAAGTGGCAC